TCAGTTCGCTGCCTCCGGAAAGGTAAACTCCTCCTTGATCATTAACTCGTATTGGATGTTCCGTTTTCATGAACTGAACTTTCTGTAGATTCTTTGTCTTTTTTTTTTGGCTCGAATGCCTCTGTTCTTAGTTATTTTGGTGTTTAATGCTTGGTCGTTCGAGTTTGAGTCAGTGTTCTGGTTAACTGAGGCACAGTACGTGTTTGGGTATGTGATTTATGTCTAGAGTACCTATGATTAAGAACTTGGTTCCTCTCTTTGGTGTTGCGTCTTGTGATTTGTATATTTAAGTACTCGTTGTAAGTTTGAAAGTGCTTTTATTTTAAGTTTAGGGAATGTAGCTACTCGTTTATGCAATTAAGCATCTCTCGTTCTTATCTCGTTTATGCTTAAAACATATTTCCCTCTGATGATTTGTTTATGCTTCAGATTACAGGGATACTTGATTGTAGGTAGTATAAGTCTTAAACATGTTGAACTCATTTGTTCAGAAGGGTTTCTTACATCTTGATCTTATCAATTTTCGAAATCTTTCATGATTAAAATGTTGTTGCGATCCATGTTTTCTTGAATCGGCATGTTTGCAATATTGTGGTTAACATAAGTGACGTACTTTAACTTAATTTTAACATGGAAAGTGGTCAAACTGTTGTTTTTTTCAGTCCCTTTCTTACAGTTTGTCATTTGATCATAAAGATTCACTTTTAGTTTGGTATTCTAGCCCCAAATATTGATAACTCGATTTGATGGCTAAATTTCATCCTTATTTCCTTATCTCGTATAAGTTTGTTTTATTATAATCACTGTAGAACATTTTGGATCATTTCATACTCACTTAGGTTGAGTTCTAGTTGTGGTCATTGTGACTTTTCTCCCATCCCCGTCCCCATTTGTTTGCCGAATGCTTGAAAATCATTGTTCCTGTTAAGTTGGAAAATTGTGAAATTTAATCAACTAGGTTTTGAGTCATTAAGTAAATAGTGAAGTGAGTCGCAAGGGGTTCTATTCTCTTTTTCCTTACTCTCTTGTCTTTCCTTTTATCAATATGTATATTATTAGTTTATCTTTTTTTGGGATTCATTCACCCACCTTGTGCTCCTTGTCTTTTATTTTGGTTAAACTTGTCCATCGATTTTTGTTATTTAGATGAATTTACCGTAAAATTAATTTTGAATTTAGTTCATTTTAATCTATGGCTTTATATTTGTCACTATCTATGGGATATAAATATATGTATGTGTGAACATTTGTTTTCTCTATGCTTACTCACTTGATTCTGATCCTAATTAATTATTTTTGTTCTCATTGTGACACTTAGGAAGTGGTGATTTTTACTATCCTTTATTTTCTTATATTAAATCATGTGGGTTGTTACTCATAAGTTTACTTGTTTTTTTGTTGCATGTGAAATCTGTCCGAGTTCACCATGAACTCACTTCTCTCTCTCGCATTTCGGGAGTGCCAGAAAGGCTCAATTTCTCTTTTTGAGTCAGTCAGCCATTAAAATCGACGAACGGGTCCAGACGTCAAAATATGCAACGGATTGAAAATTGAAAATTGAAAATTTGTGTCAAAGGCCCACCCTTTATTTCAAAAAATTGTATTTTGTTACTTTTAGGCGTAAGCCCAGTTATTTGCTACTATAATGTTAGAATTTAGGACATGTGACGAAAATGTCCAAAATGAAATTAGGCCCAAGTGTTGGTCCAGGCGGACAGAAAAAACCAAATTTGGGCCCGAGTCTTTTTTCCTCTCTATTTTATTGCGTTTGTGTGCTTGCTAATATTTATCGCAAAAATTAAAGTCGAAAAATTTAAATCTCCGAAAGACGCCCATTTTGATTTAACAACTTCACTAAATCAGTCATCGTTTAACAAAACTTAAAGAATAAATGTTGCAAATTATCTCACTTAGATAGTATTTTCGTATTTCCCCTTTTTTTTCCTTTTAAAACGGTTTTAACTATAAATTTTGCAATTCAAGTTAAGTTAAATTATTTTAGCCAAATAATTAATTACCGGATAACCGCATGTTAGCGGGCATTTCGAGTGCTTTCAAACCCTTTCCAAAATGTTAATATGAACCTCAAACCCCCTTAATTATTTTCATTAGATTTTCTATTTTTAATCTATTGAAATAATCAGTTTTCTTAATTACCCTTTAAAAATTATGTGGCAACTCTTAAAGCCCGTCTAAATAATATTTTCTTAATAAAACAGAATGACGATTCTGCTGGGGATTTGAATGATTCTAACCTTAAGATTAATTTATTTGGCTATTTATTTTTACTGTTGACTTATTTTATTTATCGTATATATTGAATTGTGACATTCATGGCACCTGATTCCGTCAAACGGCAAATAAATTGCATTAGGAAAAAAAGCGGTTATATAACTTACCACAGATGTCCTTAAAAAAAAATACAAGTTGAACTCTTTGAAAATAATAAACGAATAGTTGGTTTGTGGTCATCCAACGTCGTTTATTAGACTTCACCCCGTTGTTTGTTCGACTCGGGTAACCGTCATTTCTAAACCAATTCTGGTCAGCTTAGAGTAGAGCGAAACCAAATCCAAATTTAAGCATTAGCCTAAGACGGTTTAATACTCAAGGCGTATTAAGTCCATTAGTAAAACCGCCAAAAATCAAGTCCAAGGTCCACGACATCATGGGCGGACCCACGTGTTGTCCAGGGGTTTCACCAGAACCCTCTCAAAAAAAATTACACTGTATATATAAGGTGAATTTTCTGGATTTATGTGGATATATATATTTTGAACCCCCTCAAGGACAAGGTGAAGGAGATAGCCTAGTGGCAGCTCCCTTCAAAGTTAAGCCTGATGTTCAGGGATCGAATCATTGGGTTAGCGTTTTATTTTTTAGTTTTTTACTTTTAATTTTTTTTTGTTCCAGTTTCGATTTTAATGTTTTTTTATAATAAAATGTGGTGTTAAACCCAAAAATTCAAGGGTCCGAACTCCCATACTCCCATTCCTAAAAACTAATAACTTTTTCGCTTTTCAAATCCCTAAATCACTTTCTTGTTCTTCCCCAACTCAAAACTCAAATATTTAAATCATCTCTCATAATATTCTATTGTTGATTGTTTCATACTTGATACTTCATGCTTGAATCTCACATTCAATTCGAAATGAAAAATCAAAACTCATGCTTATTGCTTAAAAGGTAAAAGCCCTTTTCTCTTCTTCTTATTTTCTTTCAATTTTCAAGAAATTAAATGGGTCTTTATTTTTTAAGGTTGTAGACTTATAGTATCTCTGATTATCTAAAGTGGAGGCTCAAAGCAAAAATTAAAAGGGTTGATTGTTTGTTTTTTCTCCAAGGTAAGCTTTTATCTCAATTTTCTTGAAAAGTTCATCTTTCTTGATTGAATATTGACTATCTTCATTTTAAATTGTGAATTTTTTTTATTGTTTTTTTATATTCTTTCTTTGATAGTCATAACTAGATTGATGAACCATTTGAATTTTGATGGTAATGTCTAATGTAATTTACAAAAAGTTATCTTTAATGCATTTAACAATTAACTATTTTGTATAGATTCATAGTCAATGGAGAAGTACTTTTTTAAAGTATCAAATTCAAGTTCTATTGCTCAGAATCAACCTAACGGGGAAGAAAATGCTAATCATTTGGGAGTACCATCACACTCTTCTCAAGAATTTGATTTAAGTTCTTTAAAGGCTGATCCAGGTGAAATAACTCAAATCTCGTGACGCTGTTAGAAGAGCTTATCTCCAAAAAAAACCTTGTCAACCTCTATTAAGAGAGTTTCCACAAACAAACATTTTTGGAGATGTGCGTCATTTTAATCATAAATAGTTTGATGAATTTCCTGATTGGTTAGAGTATAGTATAAGTAAAGATGCAGCCTTTTGTTTGTATTGTTATTTATTCAAGCAAAATAACAATCTTCAAGGCGGAGGTGAAACATTTTCAAGTGTGGGGTTTAGAAGCTGGCATAAAAAAGCTAGTCTGCAAACACATGTTGGTGGGCATACTAGCATTCACAATCAGTCAAAAAGAAATGTGAAGATCTAATGCGATAACAACAATTCATACATGCTTCATTTGAGAAACAATTTAATCAAGATAAGCACGGGTATCAGATCCGCTTAGCAGCTTGCTTCAATTGATGTAGTAAGACTTCTTGTGAAACAAGGCTTGACATTTCGAGGTCATGATGAATCTAAATTATCACTTAACAAAGGTAATTTTCTTGAGATTCTTTCATTTTATGCTCGAAAGTATGATGAAGTTCGTAAGTTTGTATTGGAAAATGCTCCTCAAAATGACCAAATGACTTGTCCAAAAATTCAAAAAGATATTGTAATTGCTTGCAAGATTGAAACAATTAAAGGCATCATAAAGGAACTAAATGGTGATTATTTTTTTCTTATTGGTTGATGAATCTTTTGATGTTTCACGCAAGGAGCAAATGACGGTTGTTTTACGATATGTTGATAGAAGAGGATTTGTGATGGAGAGACTTCTTGACATTGTTCATGTTAAAAATACTAGTGCTTTATTTCTAAAAGAAGCAATTGTCAATTTACTTTCTCAACATTCCTTGAGTCTATCTTATGTGCGTGGACAATGCTATGACAGAGCAAATAACATGCAAGGTGATATCAATGGCCTTAAGATGTTGATTAAGAAAGAAAGTAGATCGGCTTATTCTAGACATTTTTTTGCTCATCAACTTCAATTAACTCTTGTTGGTGTTTCTAAAAGATGTCTTCAAGTTGGAGAACTTGTTCATTTGGTTTCAAATATTTTTAATATTTTGGCGGCTTCTTATAAACGTATGGATGATTATCGAGAATCTCAAAAAAAAAATTCAAGAAGCTTTTGATATGGGTGAGCTTAAAACGGGTAGAGGCTTGCATAAAGAAGTAGATATTTCTAGAGCTTGCGATACTCATTGGGGATCTCACTTCAAATCTTTTAATTGTTTTATTCTCAAGTTTGGTACAATTATGGACATTCTTGATAATATTGTTGAAACTGCACATTCTATGGATGAAAGATCCAGGGCAACAAGATATATCAGAATTGCTCAAACTTATGAGGTTGCATTCATGTTGCATTTGATGAAAGAAGTTTTAGAAATTACTAATGATCTTAGTACATGTTTACAAAAAAAGGAGCAAGACATTGCAAATGTTATGCTACTTGTTAAAGTGACCAAGATAAGGCTACAAGAGTTAAGGGAAAATGAAATATGGGATTTATTTGTTGTTGAGGTTTTTGCATTTTGTATCAAGTATAATATTGTGGTGTCTAATTTTGATGAGTCGTATGTTAATTCTGGAAGATCACGGCGTAAATCTGATGATTATACTTTTTTCATCATTATCGTGTTGAAGTATTTTGTAAAATAATTTATTGGCAATTGCAAGAACTCAATGATCGTTTTGATGAGGTAACAACCGAGTTGCTTTATGGAGTTGCTTGTTTGAATCCGATAGACTCATTTTCAAGTTTTGATATCCAGAAAATAATGAGAATAGCTTAATTATATCCTGATGACTTTGATGAACCTAGCATGTGTCCACTTGAGAATCAACTAGCAAATTACATTATTGATGTCCGTGATATCGATAAAAGGTTCTCTGATTTACATGGGCTTTGTGATCTTTCAAAAAAATTGGTTGAGACAAAAAAACATTCATGTTATCCTCTTGTTTTTCGTTTGGCGAAATTCGCTTTACTTCTGCCAGTTGCCACTGCATCCATTGAAAGAGCTTTTTCGGGAATGAAATTTATTAAGAATAAGTTGCAAAGTCGAATGAATGATGACTTCTTGAGCGGTTGCATGGTTCCTTTTATGGAGAGGGATGTGTTTAAAGATGTTTCAACGGATGATATTATTTTGTCTTTTCAAGCAATGAAACCTCGTCGAATAGTATTATAAACGTGCTTGAGAAGTATTAGCACTGACCTCTTTTTGGAGTTTGTAGTTAGCACTCTACTCCTAGAGTGAGACATTACGAAGTGCTATTTTTTTTTGTTCTAGTTAGCTCCATTTTTTGCTCTACTTTGCATCCTAGTTCTAGATTGACATATTGTATAGGGGTAACTTTTTGTTTCACTGTAATCACTCATGTTAGTTTCGGATTTCTTGTAACGAAACTAACTTTTTGTACCTATAAACTATATACTACTACTTCCTTGAAATTTTATTTTGTTGGCTTATTTACACGTTTATACTTTTATTTTTCGAACCCCCTGAACAAAAATTATGGGTCCGCCACTACACGACCTAACGACATATCATATTATTTGACATTTGAAAAATGTATGAGTGGAAACCTAATTGTTGCCTATTTGGGCGAGGAAATCTTAATCGTGCTTTATTTTGTAGGTATGAATCGATTTCCTAAATACGACATGGTAGTGGAAGCCCCAATTTTGCTCAAGTTGTGGTAAAACGATCTCACTACGGTTCACAAAAGGGCCCTCAACAAATATATAAGGGCCCTAACAGAACTCATCAATATGGTCGGGTGGCACAAGCTGATTGAAGTCCTCATAGGTTATTGGGACAACGAGAAATTGGTGTTCTGATTTGGAACCATGGAAATCACCACGACAATTGAGGAAATTCGGGACGGAATAAACACAGTCGGTACAAGGCTTGAAGGAAGACTGAGAAAACGGGAAAACATCATAATCCCTAACAAGCCTACCCTCGAGGATATTGTAAATTGGTTCAGATGCCTACTGGGCCGAAGGTTCTAGAGTTTCTTTTATGGATCTCTATGTCAGATTCGGACATGCGAGCTTCTACGCGAATTACAACCAAGAGTTCAGGGTCATTTTCAGATAATGGGACGAGATCAGGCCTTTGACATTTACCATCGCACTATTAGGCACCATGGTTTTCCCACACGGATCGAGCCTCAATACCAACACCCGGGTGATAATGCTTGTGCACACTCTGTTCCACGGGCATCTGAACCAAAGGCAAGTGAAGTACTACCCTATCGCGCCTGTCATCCTTTTCGACATGTACCGTGCTCTATGTAGGTGTAAGGAAGGACATCGTTACTTTCAGGGTTGTAATCTCATCCTCCAATGGTGGATAATGAGTCACTTGATGAAGAGACACAGAACTCAGGAACTACATACCCTCGATAGGCATAATGCTCTTAAGAGTTTGAATGACATGTTGTTTTGGGCAGACTTAGAATAAAAGAGAACCAGATAAAGATGGGCTCAAATTTTCTCCGAGTTGAGACAAAAAGATATTCAGTGGATGTTCGACCATTTCATCTCGAAAGATGTCATAGTGCGGGGTGACATACAACTTCTGCTTCCTCTACCAGGTATCCGAGGTATCCCCATATATGCACCCATCCGGGTCCTAAGGCAGTTTGGAAGAAGACAGACTACACCTCCAAACGCATACTACCGTATCTATGTGTTCGACATCGGGGATGATAGAGTGCATAAGGCTTCAGAGATTCTAAAAGAATGAAAAAAAGTTGTACGAATGAACAAGGACACCATTGCTGCTGATTGATTTAATGTTGGGTACGATAAAACCTACAAAGCTTGGTTGAAGGGAAATATACAAGGTATCTCTTTCTCAGTTCCGAACATTTACCATAGTGTGGAGGACAAAGAGTCCAAAGCTTTGATAGAACTAAGAGGTAAGCCCATGAAATGCACGAGAAATTTCTCTGAAAGCAAGAGGAGGATAAGTACGCCCTCGAGAGCGTAACTCAAGAATTAGAAAGCTTGAGAAGCGATTTGGGAGAGCTCAACTTATGGATTGGAGATAAGAAAAACGGAATGTGTCTCGAAGACTGGGAAGAGAAAGGCCGCCGGAACGAAGGATACTTGCTAATGATTCAATATCGGCTTCAGCATCTCATGGCACAAAACAAGAGGAACAGATCAGAGGCGGGGACATCGGGAACATCTTAGTGGATTTCGCCCCTGCGTGGGTTTTTCTATGTGTATTTATTGTTGTTTGCCCCTACGTGGGCTTGCTTTTCTTGTATTTTGGTACTCTTTTCAAATGACCCCTGCGTGGGTCTTTTCTTTTAGTGTTTCCCGTTTATTCCCTACTTCCCCCTACTTATTTTTGCTTTTTCGAACATCATTTTATATACAAAATTTGCTTTAAGGTAACAAAATGGTTCAATTCTACACATACATCTTTCAAATACGTTAGGCCTACCTTTGGCACAAAAGGGCCCCCTACGTGTTTAGGACGCATGTTAGCTGCTTGTGTGCTTTAAATGTTTATGTGATTTTGTTGCTTTGAATGAGGATATTTTAGCCCACTCTTTTTCAAAATTTTCTGAAAAAATCTCTACAATATCATATACAAATCACTACCAAAAGTCCAACCAAAATTCCATGAGTCTTGAGTTTCTCAACCAAAAATAAAATCTCACTACCAAATCCTAAAATATTACTCTGTCATCTCAAGAAAGGTAAAATCGCAACTAAGATGGAAAAAGGTAAGAGTATCGACATAGAGTTAACTGAGGAGGATTTGAGGATGGAATTGCAGCGGCTCAGACAGGAGGTCCAAGAAACCAGAGAAAGGAGAATAGAAGTGGAGATCGCCACCGCGGTCGCCCAAGCTGCAAATGCGGCACTAGACGAGGAATCTGCGGCTAAGATGGCAAGATATGCTATCATGAACGAGGAGACGGTTGCTATGCGGAAGGAACATGATGTCTTTAACAATAACATAACCATGAGACTTCAGAAAATACGCGGAAAATGCTCTTTCTTTAACCAAGAGGCCAATAATGGTCCTGAAGACACTCACCTTGGAGCTACTGAAGAAGATACTGAGGATGAAATTGTCTATAGGCCTCCTCTTCAGGGACAGTGGAAAGAAGGGAATGAGAAAATCATCCCCAAAGCATATGAGTTTACCCCCCGTGATTAATGCAGCAGTCAGAAGAAGAAGCTTTGATGAAGGCACCACCTATCTTTTAGGAGCTTTATTGCATGTTTTCCTTTCACTTTCCTTGTACTCAATCAAATGAATGAATGAAAATGAGAATTTCCTTTTGTATTCGAACTACGTAGGGCCTGAATTCTCCTTAAGAGATACGTAGGCAGCCTTTCAAGGCCTGACACCTATCTTTTAAAATTTTATTTTCCCCCCTTTCATTCTACAAGGAAGCATTGAATTCACATCAACAAATGCCGAAAGTTGCAGCAAGAAGACCTTAGCTCAATGCAATTTAACATTTCTAAGTCACTAGCCTCAAAATAAAACGAGCAAATTCCTGCTTGTATAAAAATTAGTCCCCATTACTCGTGGGTTAACATGTTCTCAAACGAAGCAACTCTTATGTGTTTATATGCCCTCTATGTGATATTTTGCATTGTTTGCCTTGAACCAAAACTAACAGATTTGCCTTTGAGTTGTTTTTCTCTACAGGTAGTTAGAACTGATCTGTGTCGATAAGCTGGCTGAACACCCCTATTTTACAAGATCAAAAGTCCCTACAGATTCCTTCTCCGGTCAAAGTTCTCGGAAGGGCAAGTTAACAATGGGCGATAACGTTGAGGATACCGGCTTAACAGATGTTGTTGTGACTCAGCCCGTCATCGCCGATCAAAACGAGTTAATCGTGCAATTGATGCAACAGATCGCTGAGATGCGGGTCAAGATGCAGAGAAGGCAAGATTTGCCTAATCCGGTTTTTGCTTTTAATGCTCCAGCAGATGGAAGGCCTCCACTTCACTTTCCTCCTTCGAACACAGAACAGGCCCAAAATCCACCCTCTAGTCCTGCTCAGAATCCCTAAATCATCGACCTAACCACCCAAAATCCCCATTATGCCTCTGCCTCTTATCAGACACCACCCCCTCCTCAAAACACCAACCTCCAAGTGCCACTTCATATCCAAAATGCCAACCTCCAAACTGGTCCACCCCCTCAAAACCAAAATATTAACAACCCGTACACTTCCCTCCATCACCAAAATCAACATACCAACCCCCAGACTTTCCCTCAAAACTACCAAGTCACTCAAAATGCCTAAAGTCCCTCCATTGCTCCACCCCTACCTCAGAAAGCCACTTTCCAAATCTCAATCCCCAATGAGCATGACACCAATGGTTCTGAGCTCGACCACTATGAGGAGCGAGAGAGAGAGTGGAGGTCAAAGGAAGAGGCCGCTAAGCTGGATATGAAAGAAGAGATCTGAAATGCCATGAAAGAGTTGTAGTGTACTCCTGAAGTCGTCGATTTGAGTTATGAGGATTTATGCATTCATCCGAATTTGGACCTCCCGAAAGGGTTCAAAGTGCCAAAGTTTGACATTTTCGAAGGAATAGGGAACCCCTTAGCGCACCTGAGGGCCTACTGTGACCAGCTCGTGGGAGTTGGAAGTGATGAAGCTTTATTGATGCGGCTTTTTAGCCGAAGTCTGAGTGGAGAGGCTCTGGAATGGTTTACATCACATGAAATGAGACAATGGCCTAGCTGGAATGCTCTGGCTAAGGACTTCAGCGAACGGTTCACCTACAATGTAGAGATCGTTCCTGATCGTTATTCCTTGAAAAAAATGAAGCAGAAATCCAATGAAGTTACAGAGAATTTGCATATAGATGGAGAAAGGAGACAGCTAGAATTCGGCCTCATATGTGTGAGAAGGAAATTGTTGAAGTATTTGTGCGGGTTCAAGAGCCCGAATATTATGATAGAATTATGTTGCTCATTGGAGGAAAGTTTGTTGAGATAGTCAAAGTAGGTGAGACTATCGAAGATGGACTAAGAACCGGGAAGATTGCCCGTGTTGCTGCCTCGCTCGGATCCTCCGAATTGTTGAAGAAGAAAAAAGAAGATGTGTCTTCTATCTCTTATGAGGGGAAAAAGACCCCAAGGAAATCCTTATCATACCAAGGTCGTTCTCAACCTTCACAGAGTTCTTA